AGGCAGCATCATTTGAAAGGAATGTTTCGGAAGATATTATCCTTTAATTTCGTTCTATCTCAGATAACACCACACGAATTAGTTCCAAACCCAGATGTTTTCGGAATGACATTGTATGCAGATGATGATACACTATCTTCCCAGATGTCAATTCTCCTGGGTTTATTTTTATGGATAATACTCAAATCTTTAAAAGTAGTAGTACTTCCATTGAAACAGGCTTGTAATGCTGAATATTTTTTGCTTATAATTTGTGTCAATTTCACTCAGTGCAGGTTGATTACCAGTGTCGTTTAAACGTACCCACAGTTGAAAATTTGTGAGTCCTGTTAAAAGTGTTTAGCAAATGAACCTTTTTCAATCTAGATGATCACTCAAAATCCGTTTTCACCTAAATCATTAGGATCAAAGAACAACACACTACTCAGCAGTTCTTTTAAAAGCGGATGCTTGATGCAGCCATTTATCAACCAGTACAAATCGAAAAAGGCACAAATTCCGTTTGTATTGTGGTTATTGATGGATACATTGTTAAACGGCAGATGTGTGGGTTCATGGAACCATCGTAAGTTATTTTAGCCGGAAGGATTCTAGGTCACTGAACGCTGGAACTCTCTTGGGGATTGCACGGTGCTTGGAACGTGTGGTTCAACCATGCAACCTATCAATTATCTCAATGCAAATTGAATTTCTGCCCAGTTCCTTTGGTGTTGGATGACAAACGACCGGGTCTAAACTATCCATAAAACCGTCCAGCGGGTGGTTTCCCCGACTACTGATGACAAAAGTTCGACAAGTCAGTTGCACAACTCGGTGAAGGGATCAAAAGCTACTTGGTGAAAACCCAGGATGAATACTAAAGCTGTCTGTTTATCGACACCACCAAGAAACATACATGCTCTCACCTACTGGCAACTTGGTCACACACTTGACCAGTTGGCAACAAAATTAAATCTCTAGGGGAAGACTGCACGCTTTATTCCGTGACCGTGTAATGGCAACGTTTTGTGTGTCGTTATTGTTAACGTTATGAAGTCGAAAGAAATTTGGAGACATGATCATAAGGAGGCATATTCACTTTCAAGAAAGCATAGTACAGGGCTGGGCAGATTTTTACTCATTACTATTCCTATTCATGTCAGAACAATGCTATTCCTCTCCGTATATCGCACTGCCGACAGCGGCAGAGCCTACTGAACCTCCTACCGAGTCAGAAGGGACATCAATGACCACGTCATCCACACAGCAGGAAGGCGGACTAACAACAACAATTGATGGCACCCCATCATACAAAACGTCTACATTTTTACACCTGCAGTTTTCAAGACCCGAACATTACGTGAGCTAATTTTATAGACTGAGGAAAGATTTTACAATTTTTCACCACTTTGGTTTATAGTCCCATTTCAGTTGTCAAATGAGTAACGAAAACCTTTAGGCCTTGAATTTTTTCATCCACTCGTGGTTGGGTTGATTCTTGTTAACCACAGTCCCTATCTTTTAAACATCAACACTACCTTTTTTTACTGTAGTTCTTGCGGCATCAGCTCGTAAATGTATGATTAAATCGGGCGACACAGGTGTTCCAAAAGTGAATAGTTTTTCCCGTCAAAGTGCACAGAGCTTTTAGATGATCGATGTAACTACCTGCAGTGACTTTCGCATTTGGCCTCCAGTCTTTCTGGAATCAGTCCAGAGTACAGCACATCGCACGAGAAGCCTGTATGGATGTCGTCTTTATTTACACTGAAGATTCCAACAACGGAAAATTCATGTTTTCCCTAAATTACGTTTTCTGTCAAGCAGGAACTACTGTGTGGACAACGTCCTCTGTTAATGGCACCGAAAGTTATCAGTCGGATGAATGAGGACGATACCACTAGAATCTTAACATTAGTGGGCATGTACTGATTTTCGTTGTTAGGCAAGACAGTGTATTATTAGTATTTTTTTTTACATAAAATCTATNTTATATTATAATCGAAGCAAACCAGGGCGAAAATTGGGATTGAGCAGTGCAATATAATTGAGTAGTTGTCGATATCCCAGAAGCTGCACTGAACAAATTGCGCGCCTGTTCATTCAATTAGGACTAATTGTTTTGCGTAATGACCCGGATGGCAGGTTATACTGCCTGCTTTTTACCCTACGTCATCTGATCAAATATGATGCTATGAAAAATCCGACGTTCTTGCTGAACCTGAATGCTTGTAGCAATCTAAAATATGCCGTGAAACTTACACAGACAAACGAATTGTTTCGAAAAAAGTTAGAATAAAGGCGCTTAAAATTAACATTAGTTACTAATTTCTGAAGGTAACGTTGTAGAAGTACGACATGGTATTTCTTTGCGTCGGGTTAATACTGCGTCAGAGAGATAAAATTTAAGCAGAAAGGCAATAGAAATCATTAAAAGTCCTACTTACAACACTAGTGTCATTTATTCAGTAGCAGAATTTTGAGCAAATTTTGACCAAACTCAAAAAGCTATTTTGGATCCTTTAACCAGTAACTGTAAAACCTGACCTTGAACCTGACACCATTGAGGTTGAAACAGAAGATAAGCTCATTTTTGTCAAGTACGATGCTGTTTTTGAATTTTGATTACTGACCGTTTCTTCACCAGACTTTCTTTGTTGACTGCGGAAAAATTGCGGGCAAAATACACCTTAATCGGCGGCAAATGCATCCATCGTTTTCGAGTTTGAGGTCGCTGCATTTGTGCATGCATAACACAAAAAACTGGACGTGTTATTCAGTGTTTGTTTAGTGTCAAGCGCACTTACCACCTATATGTGCTAACCACCAACTAGACTACATCATCATCTTACATGCGATAGAATTGGTATTTCGTTTTCTGAAAAGAGAAACGTTTCGTGCTACCACATAACAACTATCTTGAATCGAAATTAGTGCTTTGATTCAGCAGCGTTAAAGAGAAATCGGAAATAGTCTTCTTTAAGCAGAGCGCCCTATTCTATTCTGAAAAGCTGAGTCATTGTACAGAGGTCTTGCCTTCATTGAGGATCAACAGCAGCGCATTACTAAAAAAATTCTGGGAGGTTTTGCCAGAGTGAGTGCTTAACCGTTCGGCTGCGATCGGCTCATCAACAGTGTGATTCGTCTGCAACTGAAAGAATACAGTATCCTATCCTTCAACCACGGAAGCCACACCAGCTGGACAGGTGTAGACTGGCCCCTCGAATGACGGCTACTCGTGAGATGCGCGTCGTAAATGATTCCTAACAGAGACGAAACAGCTATACAGTACTTCTCAACATTTTGACATAGACTAGCGCCGCTTACAGGACAAACTATTCACTGAAAGTTCCCCGATATCTCGATACTACCCAATATCAGTTAAAACGGCTGCAAGAACAGTGAAATACGTTAATTCACTTGTGGTCACTGTGAAATTTTTGTATTCTGCTAGAGATTTAGTTTTCTTAGCCGCAAACTGAAGTGGAAATGATCCAGACTAATCCCAAATGCTGTTTTCTTTGCAGAAAAACAGAAATGTGTTAAGATGTAGTAGTTGTTTGCCCTTTCAACAGGGTGTGTAAAATCAGGTGAAAAGGTGTCCTAATTGGTGTGTGGTGTACCGAGATTCGTTCACCGGAGCTTACTATCGGGAACTTCCATCGGGAGAGTTAATATTTGGCAGAGTTTCATCCCTCATAAATTACCCGCTGTAGTTTAAGACTTCATACCTTCCTCAACTATAAACTTCCTTCTAAAACAGGCAACATCAGGAGAGGAACTAATTCTAGTCGTTCTTCTGGGGTGGTCACACGTTGGATCCCTCAAAATCAACTCGATGCTGTTGCTGATCAAGCGGAGATCAATCTTCTAAACTACGTGGAAAGCGGTTATTGAATTGATTCAACATTTCCCTGAGAGACCGCATTACAGTTTTGAATTACACATACCGCTATTCTGGATATTTCAGTTAACAGCAAAATGTTTTCAGTAGGCTGAGATTCCGGTATATCAATTGCAATAACTAAAAAAATTAGAACTACCGGACAGATAAGGTGGCCAGGGTCTTTAACTAACTACCACAGCACTGCACCACAGAAAGGACCGTCTCTTACCACATCAACCCAGGAAGACTTCTCTTCAGAGAGGCTACGTTTGCCAAATACTCACCTGTTTTGGAAAATTGTTTCAAGCTCAGATAACCACCTACCTTCGGCGAAGTCTGATTCAGTAAGCTCGGGGTCAGGCTAGTCAACTGATTTTGAGCCGAATAAGCTGATGAACATCATCACAACTCACTGCCAGAGCACAAAGCCCCGCATTAGATCAATGCTCAAGCAGTTGTGGCTCGTGGTTTAGATTTCGGTATTCGACAGGGATGTCTGTTTTTCCAGGCACTTTGTAGTTTCGCAATCAGCTGGACAATGGTTACTCCCCGTAGTGCTTCTTCTGAAGTAAAACTAGGTTATACCATTTGGATTGTGAAGATTTACCACGCCGATGATATTGTAATTGCAAGGAAAGATACAGCAGCCACACTGCCCATTCTCGACAGCAGTTGAAGCCAAAAGTGACCTGTTGAAAAACCAGATTCTTCACCAAAAATAGAATGATCAGCACAACAACAAATAAAAAAACTAACTTGGCTTCTCTTAGTGCCTATACTCCACTATCCTTTCAAAAGGCTTATTACAGTAGCTGTTTATTTCGACTTTCACACTGGAAACACCAAGATGATCCAAGAGCTATTCCACAATGCTCCATAACGAAGCGCTGCGTGCACAGTGAGACCCTCCGACTTGTGCTTACATCTTCCCACTGCGTTGGACTGGGCCACTTCGATCCGATCTTTGAATGCCCGGAGTTCTTGTTTGTTGATGCTTACGATAGATGGTGAAATTGAGTTGAAGTGACAGGATAGCTAGAGGTGATATGATATTCTGTGTCTCCTCGACATCGACCTTTATTGGCACAGACCACAAATGAAATATTGGATTGTCCATCTATCTCTTGCATCGTTATCACGTTTGAAGTTGTACTGTCGTATCGAACGACATTCGAAAGCTCTGTCTTTCACATTTGTGACTGCAGTACAGGGATTCGGTGGATTGTACAGAATCACGCAAAAGAATGAAAACTGAATGACGCTGGGTTCTGGCTCGTGCTTCTTGGATGGCAGCAAGCTGGAGCAGATCTATCTTTTTTTCTGATAGAAAGCAGAAGTAAAATTGACCAGTGCAATTGCTTTTTAGTAGAGTAACGTGTTCTCGAAGTTGCTTCTGATTTGTCTTGAAATGACTTGTTCGACTGCTTAGCCTTTTCTTCTGTGTTAACCCCTGGCGGCATGTCGAACGGACCTTCAGAATAAACACTAATGTGCAGTTCAACTGTCCACTAAATATGTGATCAGAAACTTTCCCAACCCTCTCCACAGGAAAGTCAGCTGAAGAACTGCAACGGATTGTGACGTAAGTGGATAATCACCAAGTTTTTCTGTTTGTCTTTCAAAGCCGTGTGCACTTGAGCACTATCCAGAATAATAATTTTTCTTCGAATTCTGAGTATAGACAAGGTTGATTAGCACTGGAAAGTCCTAACTAACTTTGAATTTACTAAGCTGGCCTGAGGGGACACTGAACTATAAATAAATTGCACCTCCATTAGCGAACGCCCTATTGCCTTTACAAGTGGTCCATTTCAGCAAATTATTGGTTAGTTTGCTGAAAACTGCCACACGGTTTCTAAATCAAAGCCTGTTTGATATGACTTCCAAGCTCTTCTTTATTCCATACTAAGTACATCTGGACGGAATATTTCGCCACCCTTTGTCAACCCGATGTACAAACTGTTCAACAAGTTGGAAATAGCAGTGACTCCCACGTCGGTGATTACCAATGGTGAAGAAATCCTGCTAGCTTGAAATATTCTGGAACGAGGTAAAGGCTTATTAGAGTGATTAAAGGAGACGACTGAAATAGTCAGGACTCACAATTCTGCTAGCAGTATTTGGCTATCGAAGCTTAGATCGGGTTACTACTATAAGTTTACAAATTTTCTTCCGCGGCATCGTAGGTGTACTGCGCCGCTGAGAAAAGGCTACGACCACCATCACCACTGTCGCCGTCACCGTTACCGCCGCAACAATAGTCACAGACAACACAACCACGACTTACACAGGTGACCCCGACCCAATCCGGTTGAATCGCGTCGTGCTAAGAAGCAAAGGATTTCCGTGATGATAAACGGAACGGAGATTCATCATATGAAAAGTTTGTATTTGTGACTTAACCCAAGTGTCCTGGATTTCTAACCCGTGCAGGCCTTCCAAAGAATATGCCAGTTGAGAGGTGTGAATAGTTATCAGATCAAAGCCATTTGTGAAGACATAGACAACCTGTGTGTGTGTAAACCTGCTCCCGTTTAGGATAGGTGCCTTCAATATGACAACCGTCGCATGTAAAGTATACGGAACTGTTTTGATTTATAGAGTATTATGACGTTAATCCTTATAAGCAAGGAGGACTACAATAAAGGAAAGGTGATCGGTCTGGGATTAGTTCTTTTTAGGACAATGAGACACTAGTGTTTGGCTGACAGACGATACGGTTGAGGATGGCGAAACTGAAAGTCCTCTGTTGGAAAGGGCCTCGCTTGGAAATTGCTTGATTTGATAGCAGTCAACATTGGGAATCGGAACATTCTTGTCGTATACTGCACAAATTACAAGTTTTCCAGCCCGACTGTGGTATAGCTTCATCCAACGATACATTGACCAGCATGGTTGTAAATACCCAACTGCGGTGAGTATGATAAACAACACCCATCAAAATACAGGAGCATGTATTTTCATGTCCAGTCTCGTGACTGACAGTGCGATTCAAGGAAGAAGATGTTGGTGGCGACGTTCCAACTGCACTTAACCTGGTGATTGCAGTTTCGCCGTTATATATAGCCACGAAACCGGTACACAAACTTCCGATGACGTAAGTTATCAGGACATATATCCTCACCACCGCAAACCGAAACATGGTTTTGACCAGTGTGTTTAGAGAGCGATTCCGGACCAATCTAGTGCAAGTTAGCCTGAAGATGCTTTCATTGGGTTAATCACTTCAGCTAAAAAAACAAAGTTGTCTTGTTCCATCAGTTTCTCTGATGCCTTCGTACGTAAACGATGGCAGTGATTGTGCTTTGCCATTGGGTTGTCGTTTGCACTAACGTTAGTATTCCCTGATGAAGTTTCAAAGTAAAATTAAGGGTTTGGAATTTCTAACAGAAGTTTTGTCTTATAAGTAAAGCCAATCTATGCTAAAGAGAGTTTAGGAGCACGGCAAAGCTGTTTCATCAGCAGTGCGTACCTCACGAAACTCGTCGTTGTCTCTAACCCGAGACTTGCGAGCTGGTAGGTTTCACACCTGCATCCTTGACGATATAGGATATAGCGCCAGTCAAATTTTTCATATCTTCTCACATCACCAGCAATCTATAAGTAACTCAGCGAAAGAATTAAATTCATTCGACGAGTAAAGCTCCCAGCTGAGAAGACTTTACTTGTGGAAGCAGCCAGCAAGTCTGACCACGTGATGTGGACGATTTGGGTGAAGGATGATGGACGCTATATTTCGTCAACAAAAGAAATAATCACACTGCTGATGAGCCGCTCGCAGTCGAATGGTGAAATATTGAAACCAATGACCGATAAGTCGCGAGTTCGAGAAACCCTGGAGTTTCATGCGATGCGCAGTGCTGATGAATCTCAATAGGGACGTAAAGGCTGCATCGTACTTCTTGGCCCTTCAGCACGGACTGGCTCCCCTTAAAGGACGAAATCCCCAGTAAAAAGATTCCCAAATCTCACGGTATCATTGACTTTAAAGGGCTTCCAAAATTATCGCCTTGAACACAACAGAGAAAGAACGTGCACAGGGGTCGCAGCCAGCATTAATGACAGCGAGACTCCATGAATGGCGAGGAAACTATAGTTCTCACCAGCGGTCAGGTGCGCTAAATCACTATCTGCATGGGTTCACTCAGATTCTTGGTTTGCATGGCAGCTCAACACAAGGTTTTCAGCTCAGAACGCTTGAAAATCCGCTGGAAGGGCTATCAAACCGACCACTCAAACCTGCATGGGTTCACTCAGATTATTGGTTTGCATGACAGCTCAACACACGGTTTTCAGCTCAGAACGCTTGAAAATCCCCTGGAAGGGCTATCAAACCGACCACTCAAAGGTGTAAAGCCGACGGAACAAAACTGTGGTGCCTGTTGACCTGAAGCAACGGCTAATAAATATTTGTTGTAACGTCTCGCAAACGTCCTCAAAAGTGCATAAAACTGGCTCAACGAGGTCACGAAGCAAAGCAAGTGCAGTGAAATAGAGACCTTCCAATCGGGGGCCTTTTGAGAAGGAAGAACTTGAATTTAATGCCCTCTTGGAATAATCCACCGGTTCATCATCAGAATTTCTGAACAAAATAGGGGGTTCTTTTTAAACAGGGAAAATGTAGGGAATACTCAAGGACCACTGAAAAGGCCTCTCAGGAGAGCAGTGCATTACTAATTAGTCAAAGACTCTACATATGGACACTCTAATTCATCACAGCTGGAAAAAATTGAGATAAGTCAGTTTAAGTTGCTAACTTGTTGCTGCATTACTGCACCTTAACCAGCATTTTAGCAGACAGACCACCGGGTGAACATCTTTCGTGATTCGAGTCAACCCTGTTTGTTTCAGCCTAATGGTTTGGTTAGCCAAATCAGGCCATATTTCCTTGATGGATCACCAGGCTAGAGGCATTGCAATGTATGCTCCACATTCGTGTGCCTGTATTTACGGGCTCCTTTGTGATGATGGCGAGAATGAATTTCTGTAACGATGCTGATGTAAAACAAAGCAGTATGATCATGGCTAACTACAGAAGACCAACTTTGTTTGACTCGGGTTCAGCGGATTAGCAATTTAGACTCCGGGTATATCAATAGTGGAGACGATCAGGTTCCCTATCAACCGAGTCTTAACAACGTGGACATTTCTTCTCAGCGATCAACAAACTTACTGTAATCTCCGCCCTGCTCGTTTATGTCACACTGAATAGGTTGCTCGGAAGTTCGCTGACCATAAGTTTGTTTGCGTTCCCCGAAATTCATGTACCCGACGTGCCTAAGACAAGTGTTGGACACCCGCAGTGGAAAGGGATCATTTGTCGCTTGGGCTAGTAGAAGTAACGGTCGTTATTCTAAGTAAACTGCAGACACGGTTCCGATTCACAGCTTGACAAATGCTACGATATCAGGGACGATTGATGGCGGGTTGGACAAATTGACACTTTGGAATCAGTGACCATGCTTTGAGACCAACGGGCTCCAAAAAGTTACACTTGGACACAATGGTGCATTAGTAATCATGCAACTCGTTTACCTCCAAATTAGTGAATTCTGTCCCTAACAAAGGGGTCCACAATCACCAGCGGTCTAGTCCATAATACTGATAAATCCGCTTAACGTAAAATGGTCAGTTCAGAAAATGTATTGTCTGTTGGAAAGAAGGAAAGTTGAAGGAAATTTACTGCTTGATGTGCAAATTGTGATGTCAGGAGATGGCTCATAACGAGCAGCGCAGGAGAATCTCTGAGGTGCTAATTGGTAGAAGTTGTCTTCACTCGCTGTTGTTCATACAGACTACCTATTGCGAAAAAGCGATTTTTCTGGTAAGCCCATAGAAAAAAAGGAAGAAATGGACCCAGTTTCTGATCGATTGTGAGAGGGTCAGAGATGTCTGCCACTGAACATACCACAATTGAAACTTCGGACAGTAAAGCTAAAATATAAACAAAACCTGGGGCCCCTGATTTGACACTTCTGAACAAGTGAAAGTCTCTACGCCGGAATGACGTGCGTGATGAGCTCGGCATCTCGATCGACGGCTTCTTCCCTTCATCGATTGTGTTGATAGAATCACCCTCCTAAGGCGACGAATCTCTCTTGGCTAGAAAGTTTTTCAGGGTGAAATAGCATCATTGGTGTTACCCGAGAAGGTTGTATGTTCAAACAAAAATTATGTGGAGGTCAGACTTCATGAATCTGGCAGCCATTCACGAGATTTTTTATTCTGTTTGCAAATATGAAAAAAACAACTAAGCGAACCTTAGTCACAGTTCCCAATGTGATTACATCAAATCAATCAGAAAACAACACCTTCGTGAT